CAGTGTTCACAATCTTGAGATGATTTTCTTACACAGATGATTTAATCAAATATTGATATTTTTTTTACTACCTACATGAAAAAAGGAAGTAAAATGTAGTTGTTTTTGAGCTATACTATTGTAGCAAAGTGGCAAACTTGAAATATTTTGTAAGCAATTATAATTGCTGTGGTAGCCTTAAGTGGTTCTCAAAGTGAGGGTCGGGACAATGAAAAGGGGTCGCTTGGTGATTTCCAAAACACAAATAAATTTTATTAAACTATTTGAATTACCATATTTTATTCATAACTTACAGAAGATAATTAACAGTTGCGTTAAAGAAACAACAACATAGGCTACAAATAAAAATCAACCATCAGACGTTAATTTTTATATTAAAATGTAATTAAATTAATAAATGACAAAAAGAACATTATATGGTTAATAGGCTGTTGAATTTTTGTGTTGTCAATATGCTCATGTTTTTATTTGCCTATAGTTGTGGCTGCAACGTTATATGTTTACAGTATAATCACCGTGGGAAATTGGGGTCATGAGTCACTGACATTGTTAGTTTGGGGATCGTGGGCTTAAAAGTTTAGGAACCCCTGGCCTTTTACAAAAACCATAATAATAAACAAATTACACAGTATTGCATTTTCTACAACTATGTATTATATTAGGCTATACCATATTTTACTGCAGTAAAATGCAAACTATAGTTTATCAAATCACTATAGTACACAGTACAGTATGCTGTAGAATGTATTAAAGAGTTGTAAGTTCTGTAATATATGGTCTATATTATTATTTAGTAGAATTTAAAAACATACAGTTACTATTACTGTAGTATATTTATGTGGCTTTTTACAGAATATATTAAGATCTACGGTTTATAATCATTCTTCATTGTAATCATCATTTCCATTAATATAGTAAGTTTTATCATGAGACATTTATATTTTATGAACGTACTAGTGTAATCAGCTCATAATGTGATATAGTAGTAAATGACAATATTTACAGAATACTTTTAATGCTAATTTGAACATAAAACTTTTATGAAAATTAAGCTAATACAAATGGACTTGTTACACTATTAAAAAAAAAAAGCAAAACCTATTACTTAACACTTCTCACACCAGTGTGTTATTTGAGATTTTTAACACACTGATGTGTTATAATCACAAAGTTTGTGTCAAAATGTTTTATTCTCAGTAACAACAAATAAAAAATATATTATATATAAATATAATAATAATATAAAACATATACAATTCCACTGGGCGCTGTGGTTGCCTCACAACAAGAAGGTCGCTGGTTCACTCCTCAGCTGGGTCAGTTGGCATTTCTGTGTGGAGTTTGCATGTTCTCCCTGTGTTTGCGTGGGTTTCCTCCGGGTCCTTTGGTTTCCCCCACAAGTCCAAAGACATGCGCTATAAGTGAATTGGGTAAATAAAATTAGCCAAAGTGAATGAGTGCATGTGTGAATGAGAGTGTATAGGTGTTTCCCAGTACTGGGTTGCAGCTGGAAGGCCATGCGCTGTGTAAAACATATGCTGGATAAGTTGGCGGTTCATTCCGCTGTGCTGACCCCTGATAAATCAGGGACTAAGCCAAAGGAAAATGAATGAATGAATGAATAAAATTCCGCTGGTACAATTAAAGTAAAACAATCAATATTTAATAATGGTTTGTTGCGGGACCATCTGACCAGACATTTGGCCACCCTATAAACACTTTCTTATATGTTCCCATAAATCATTTTATTTACGCTTTTTAAACATTGAATCAATTTTTTTGCTAAATTACATTTTTTTGTGATCTGGTATGTGATTAAAAAGACAAAGGACCAAATTATGTCAAAATGTTTTTTCACCACATGTCATTTTTTATGCCTCTACTGCTAAACTGTACATTTGACAGTCAAAAGCAGGCAACGGTGTGCAGAATTTATGTAAAAATCCTCTCGCAGGATGGAGTTATTAGCAATAGTTAAATTATTAAACCCCTTTTGAAATATATATATATATTTCCCAAAAGATGTTTAACAGTGGAAGGATTTTCACAGTATCTGTAGTATGTCTGATAATATTTTTTTCTTCTGGAAAAAGTTTTATTTGTTTTATTTCGGTTAGAATAAAATCAGTTTTTAATTTTTTAAAAACCATTTTAAGGTCAAAATTATTAGACCCTTTAAGCAATATTTGTTTCTGACTGCAGAACAAACCATCGTTATACAATAACTTGCCTAATTACCCTAACCTGCCTAGTTAACCTGATTAACTTAGTTAAGCCTTTGAATGTCACTTTACGCTGTATAGAAGTGTTTTGAAAGATATCAGTCAAATATTATTTACTGTCATCATGACAAAGATCAAATAAATCAGTTATTAGAGATGAGTTATTAAAACTATTATGTTTAGAAATGTGTTAAGAAAATATTCTCTCTGTTAAACAGAAATTGAGGGAAAAATAAACAGGGGCGCTAATAATTCAGGGGATTTAATAATTCTGACATCAAGTGTGTACATAGACTTAGCTTAGAAATGGAATTACATACCACCACAGTGTCATAATAGTTAAATGATAGAAAGACAGATATTGAAATCAGAATGATCAAAAGCAAGACAGCATGCTTTTAAAAACATATTTCAAAATTCAACTTTGTTTTTTAGGTTATGTAAATTTGAAATTGTTTTATGTCTGCTTAAGTTTTGTAAGCTGAAGTGACTTTTAAAATTAATTTGATTCAACTTAGGGGGGAAAAAATTCGCAGCAGCAATTTTTTAAAGTGTAGTTGCTGTCTTACATTTTGGTTCAACCAAGTCAACTGTTAAAGTAATTTTAACAGATTAAACTGACAAGCCAGTCTTGAATATTTAATTAAATAAAAAAATGTTGTATTGACTTGATTGAACACATAAATTTTATTCCCTGGTGCCCTAAGCGGCTGCTTACCTCGCTTATTGAGTCCACTCGTTTGTAATATAATTTAAATAATATCCTAACAAAGCTTTCTTTATTTAAAATAGCACTGAAGGTTGAGTTATATTGGAATTATTGTGGTGGTAATTGTTTTTTTATGTTTAAAATGTTTTGTCTTTAAAGGCAACAGGTAAACTTTAATATAAATTTTTTGTTGTATTCAGTACACGTGCAGTCGCCAGTAAAAACTACTCTAAATAAACAACAGAGGGCAGCAGAGGAGAATCTGTCCTGCAGCTCAAAGACTCAAAATAATCTCTGATTCAACCAATTTGTCTGTGTCCTTGTACCAGGGCAACAGCAGTTAAACAACACCCTATCAGTTTGATTTATAGGAACTATAAAATAATCACATCATTGTTGTTTATCTATGCTTATAGGCTAGTGCAGACACAGGGAATGCAAGTTCCTTAAAAGATAGCAATGAATTTAGAAGAAATGATGAGGATGTAAAATGAACAGTCTTCATAGTTAAAGGAAGGAAGATTCTTTTATATATTTCTCATGGGGGAAAAAGAGGAAGAAGCAAATGTGAAGTCAGTGCAAATTGAAGGAATAAAATTACAGTCTAATGCTTCTTTTGAATTATATATATGTGCTCATGCTTATAATGCATATGTGTTTGCTTGAACCATGATAATCTAATGAGCCCACGCAATGATATGATGAGACATTCTGTTTGACCTTAAAATGAGACAGGAACTTTCCACACCTATAATGTCAAATAACTAAATCTGTAACAAACAAGTCTTGCAGAAAGTCCCTGTCTGGGTTGCAGCTGTGACGTGTGACTTTTCTATACAGAAAGGAGAACTGGAGCAGATGAGGAAAATATTGTTTTATTGTCTTACTAATCACTCTTTTCTTTTGATATATTTTTGTTATTGGAGGAATATACTCCCATTTGCCCCACTATTCATTATTTACAATATGTGTTTTTGTCAGATATGATGATGTCTCCTGATATAGCGTACTTCTACTTAACCCCTGTTATAATGCGTTTCTAACTAACTGCTAAAACCACAAGAGCTGTGTGTGGGTGCTGGCTGGAGACAGATCTGCAAAAGTGCTTCCCCTAGATGGGTGCATACACAGGTCAAGAGTTCATAAACAGGACTATGAGGAAAAGCAGATGTGTGTAGATGCAGCATTTTATACTGCTCTGTGTGTATGCGTGATTTATGATGCTTTAATAAAATTTATATTATCCTGATATTCTATAAGGAAGTTATGATGCTCAGCTGTGCTTTGATGATTTTTTGCTACAGTTGCTTGCTGCACCCCAGATCAGTAGTGTCAAGTATGTCAAGGAGAAGTGATACTTTCACCTGCCCTTTTGTTTCTGTGTGCAGAGGTATCTCTGTGTGCAGACCACAGACTTTTGAGAGATGATTCTGCCTGAAAACAGCTGATGGCAACAAAAGAGATTGGGGTAACTGATCAGAGGAGTGGCCAAAAAGATTGAACGCTGCTGATGGATAAAAGGAGGGAGTCGAGAGAGTTCGAGAGCTTTTGGACATCCAGACTGCTTGGCTGACGGTTCTTCAAAAGCCCAGGATCCTGACCTTCACTTTATTCACTTATGCTCGATAAATAAATTCATTGATTTTGATTAATTGACTCCTGACCGATTATTGAATTGGGGTGGACTAAGGCAAGTGAGAAATAGTCCAACAATATGTCAACATTTCCCTTCTTTTGCGATTACAGAAATTGAAAAATGTTCACGATGTCCTCATATGAAATTTACTTTCTTAATCAAGCTTTTTTCCTTCCTTATTTATCTTAATGTGAAACATAGACTCATTAAAAACAAATAAGTATTATGTATATTTTTCACCGTTGTGTTCGTTGTTTTTAGGTCACTTGCCATCATAAAACCCACCAATAAAGTTAAAGTTTAACTCATTCCATCTGCCTTGATAAAAGCTTATCAGCTGTGGTTCTGTGTTATCACACCATAAGGAAAAAAAATACAGTATGTGACCTAATAAATATACAAATGACTTAAAAAAAGAAGAAGAAGCAGAAGCTGGAGAGAACAATAAATATACTCTTTATTTAGAGCAAATTAAATTCTTATGACAAAAGTCTACATAAATCATAAATAACAATCAGATAATAGAACCGACATCCACATTAAATTGTCCAGATAAACACACTGTTTACGACCAGAACAGAATGCTGCTTCCTCATTTCTTCTCCCTGAGTGATGTGTTCAGGTCTAAAGGTGATTTTAGTCATGAATGTAAACTATTTTTCATTACCAGCTATCAACCTTTATCTTTTTTTATTTGCCCATGCGGGAAGGAAAGAATGAAAATTAATCTGATGATTTCCGAGAAACTGTTTGATGTAAAGTATATGTATTCTCTAGTCTATTAATATTACACAATATTCGGTAAACAAATTGTCTAAAGATAAGAATAAACTATTACATTTGATTTTGAAATGATGAAAATAAGAGAAATAATTAGACAAAGAGTACATCAGGATGCAGATAATAGATATTTAATACATTTAATACATACATGCTGTGTACACATTTGTTGCAGTTTCATTCTGAATGATCTGATAATGAACATTGTCCAGTGCAAAACAAGTTACAATTAAAAGCTTGTGGTTTATGTAGAACAAACGATGGATATTTTATGAAGGAATGTGTCCTTTGATATACTGTATATGTACCCTCTCCTCTGTTTTAATTATTTATTTATTTTATTTTATTTCTTCTTTTCTCATCTAATACTTTTTAAGCAATGTAAAGTGATTTTGTTGTATGATAAAACTGTGCATGCTGGTTCTTGTTAATACAAAAAAAAGTTTGAGATTAAAACCATTTGCTTAACAATTTTAAGATCATTTGGATTTTACCTCTGGCATATACTCACTCTCACTCTTCTGGCATGTCACTGGGGTGGTAACTTTTAAAAAAGGTACACATTTGTACGTATAGGGTCTATTGGTACCTCAAAAGTATATATTAGTACCTAAACATTTTAAGAGGAACACTTTTGTACTTTGTAGGTACTAATATGTACTCTTGAGGAATTAATATGGACTTTTAGGTACAAATTTGTATCTTTTGAAAAGGTACCACCCCAGTGACAGCTCGCGTACCTTTGTTTCTGAAAATGTACTTGTGTTTATCTAAACCATTTTTGCACATTCGAGAAGAGATCTTAGATCAAATGAAGGATTTTTAGGCAACATTTTATAAATAAGGTCTCAGGAATGGTTGTATCAATGTGTAGGTTGTAATACAGTAATTTTATGTGCTCATAAATGGGGTACAGGGATGAAATCATACATGAGCACCATCCTCTTGAGGTGACAGTAGAGGTTGTGAGTCTCTGTGTAAAAATATAAAGAATTTATAGGACAAAAAAAAAAAAAAGATTTGAGAGATTTGAAAAAAATCAACATTTTGTTTCTGAGTTTCATTGTGGCTTCAGTTTTATGTACACTGACAGATTCAGTTTCATCTTAATCAACTGAACAGTTTTTAAAACTTGGTTAAAAGTTTCCATTACTATATAACAACAAAAATTAATATCATCTCTGAGTGGGGAAGGGTTGCAACAAGCTGAAGTTGGACGGTGAAAGGCTATTTTTACTAGTTAATTTTACTGAAAATAAATGCATTTGCAAAATTCATTGATAATTCTATAAGGTTTATATTGTTGTTGACACCATATCTACTGGTACTTGAGTGGGTGATAAGTTGTATCAACAATTTGTACTCATCTTCATCCTTTTACACTAGATTTCAAAATAACATCAGTTTCATTAGATAAATGTGGGAGAATTGTTTAAAAACATTTTAATAAATAGCACTGAGCAATAGCGGGTAAAGCGAAAAGTTACAACCCTTCCTGTTTCTTACTTGTGAAAAATGACAAGGCTAAATCTTTAATTACGAACCATAATTAATTAATGATTTACATTCATTTACACAACTATATTCAGAGTGATAAACACAATTATATATAACACAAAATGTGTGAAATGTGCAATGTGCAGGAAGACTCAGTGCAGTAGATGTTTCAGTGTCTTCGCTTCCTCACCTGCGCACAGGAGGAGGGTTTGATACCTGAATGGAGACATTATACAACCATGTCATAAAAGAAACCAACCAAAGGGCTTATTGTTTGATTGCATGTCTACAGGACAGAATAAATAGCACTTACGTTATTTTGTAATGCAGTAAAATTTTACTATAGCCCAAGGGCAAATATGACAGGTTGTGCTACATTTACTATATTAAATGACTAACCTGACTTCCATAAGGAGGTGGAGGAGCCCTCAACTTTGATCCATGTCTTACTTCTGCATACTCTGTTCTCAGTTCATTCACATCTCCCAGAACCACTCTCTCTCCACTGTTCTTCTGGAAATGGCTTATGTCTGCATAGTTCAGCTCCTACAGATAATCATTTGCTTTTTTAAAATTATAATCAACATTTCAGACACAATGTTGTTGTGAAAATGTGAATTTATTATTTGAACTGATAAAAACAAAATCTAACTATTATAATAATCATAATGACTGATTATATGCTGATATCTATAGTTTCCACTTTCATAGCATGTCTTTGTGGAGTAATATGTGAAAGATTAAAGTCCATTTGAGCTGATGGTAACATAAACTCATTTGTCCTGCTATAAAAAGTCATAAACAGGCTTACTTTAATGATATAAAAGATTCAAGAGACAGAAGAGAGTGAAGAAGTAAATCAAATGTAATATACTGCGGAAAAAAATGCTTTACCTGTATGTTTTGTAATGTGTAATTTAATATCAGATTAACAGTTTTAAATTAGGTTTTATCTAATAAAAGACAAAATTGCTTGTTGAGAAGAAAATTAACAACAGGTAACTCACAGCATCTTGTCCTCTTTGAGCTGTTTAAACAAAGAAACACAAATATATTATATGAAATTTACAATATGGTTATTATAATAAGTCTATGTAATGTTTTGAATCAGTTTGATCACTCTCATCCTAATATTAGGAGAAAATAATAGACATACCTCCACTTGTGTTTCCTTTTGATTGATAACTTAGTTTTGGGCTGTAGCAAAAAGACAAACATTTTGTTATAAATAGTTGGTCACCATATTTTTTCCCATCAATAGAAAGTTAATATATTGTTGTTTTGCTAAAATAATTTTTTAATGTCATTGTGGCTCCATACAAACTGCTGTAAAATTAAAAGAACAAGTGCCTCTTTAATGATTAGTGCTGTATGGTATTGCTAGAAAACAATAAATAAGGAAAAGCCAATAGTAAACTTAATCCCAAACACTTGTCATAGAAATAAATGTATGATAAAAATTTGCAGCGGTTCACTATTTAAGCCTAAATACACAACACTTATAATACAATTGCGAAATGTCCTGTAAGCATAACACCTCTCGACAATGGTTTAGTTAAAAATTGCAAATCATAGCCTGTCTTTGATCACTGTTTATAATTCTTTGGTCTAAAAATAAAGATAATAAACACAAAAGAGAAAGTTTGGTAGTTAGATCAGCCAACATGAATAATCAGGTCTTTGTGATATCTTGCTCTAAGCATTTGGTTATTATTGAGCACATACAGAAGACAAATTTCTCTATTGTGCATTAAAAAAAATCAAGAGTTGTTCTACTTTAACCAACACTTCATATTCAATGTTTTGTTATCATATTAATAAGCAATTAATTTAGATCACAATATTAAGTTATTATAGTCTAACAATAACTAAGTTACACAAGATGATATTATTTCTCAGTTCATTCGCCATAACATTAGTGACAAAAGCCAAAGAGAACCTAATCTGATAAATGAAGTCCAAAACTCCTTAAAAGCAATCACTGTTTTCATCAACGGTGATGTCTAATAAAATGATTTTCAGTGAACATTGCTAAGGGCTTTTGTTGACGCCTGACAGTCAAGACAATTAGTAATAAGCAAAGCTGTAGGGCGTAATCTCACTTTGTACAGTTGCCTTGAACCAGGCCAAAGCATGTTTGTCCCCTCCTCCCGTCTTCCCCAACGGCCCGCACTCACATTACATTCGGGCCTGGGCACACTTACGTCATCGATGATGCGCTGGTCAGAAGCGCAGCTTGCTCAGCACAGTGGAGATTTCTTCAGTTTTATCATCGTTTAAGTCATTTGATATGCAGTGACACGCAGTCAAATATTTGACTGATAACAGATATTTGACTAATAACTGATAAGAGATCGGCTTGTTTTGACGCTCATAAACAATCATAAAGTCCTCGTTCTGCATGTATTAGGAGGTTTGCTGATGGTGCGGAGTTTTCGTGCAGTGAGGGGTTTGCGTCTTTAATAATCTATGACAGCTTGCGTTCATTGAACAGTAAGAATAATATAGAAATGCATATGAAACAGTCTCTTAAAAGACATGTCTCGCTTTCAGTTTCGGGCCAAAGCCCAAGTGAACTGCGCTTAGGCACACCTCTTCCAACCGGGCCAGGGCCGGCCAACTGAATTCTTACAATCACTCGCTTTGTTAATGTAAAGTTTGATCGTGCGAAATTCTGTTGAGTGATTGGTCCATGTTTTAAATTCCTGTCCAGAGAGGTCATGTTTTGATCCCCAATTAGTCTTACACCATCAAGTGATGCGATTTCGCAGGTCAGAATTCACCAAGCTTGAACTTTCCAATGCAATGATCTGCGAAACTTGACGCACAACCTTGCATTTCCAGTCTGACGCATTCTTGTGCGAATGGATGTCTATAGGGAGAAAAGTCCAGTGTGACCGCAGCTTAAGTCTTCAGTGATTCTGCTAGCTAACAGCTGGTGTTCATCATTAATGCTCAATCAACATGTAATTAATCACTTAATTAACTCATTCACTTTAACACTGAGTTCAAAACTCTTTTTAAATTAGTGGAATTAACTTCCAGTAAAGTTTGAGTTAACTACACTCACAGTGTACTTACAGTGTACTGCTTTGATTAGGTGAATTTAAAGTATATCTTTAAAAATCTCAAATGTAGATATTTTAATACTAAATGTAACAAACATATTAAAAATGAATTTAAACCCATTATCATGAATTATTTTAAGTGTTATCATAGGAGGTGTTTTATATTTGTACATTTTAATGATATTTTTTATGTTAAAAGTATAATTATTGCAAATTACATTTGTTCTACTTATATTACAATAAATCAATCCAGTCAACTTATTTTTTTAACCTGGGTTACACCATTACTCTACTCTCATCTGGGTTCACTTTTGTGTTTGCTTGTTAGACTAGTGTTGTATTTGGTGTTAAGCATAGTGTACTGATACTGTAGAACTGGCCCTGCATAATCATTGATATTTTTAAGAAAAGTTACAATAAATCTGCATAATTTAGAAATATGTTGATTTACTCACATTTTGTTGGTTTTTGTTAAGTAGACAATAAGACCACAGATGCCTCCAACTGCCACTAAAACTCCAATGACAATCCCTGCTATTGCTCCCGCTGACAGTCCTCCTCCTAAACCCGCTTCACCACCCTCTGACAAATATACAGAAAGACAGCAGATCATATAGTGTATACAATAAAAAACTAATGCACTTAAACCTTTATAAATTTTGAAATGTTTTTGTAAATGGTGCATTTTATTCCAAATGCTATGCTGTAACAAACAATAAATGCACGTTTATGTTGCGTATCTAAAGTAATATAAAATGTCACAAGGGCTGTATATATTAAACAGTATATGATTTTTAAACATGCAATTTTAAAACTACAAAATACAATTATTTTTTGAGAATGTTTAGGTGATTTATTATTCACAAATCTGCAGATTATGTGGATGCATTACAGTTGCTGTAATATATATATATATATATATATATATATATATATATATATATATATATATATATATATATATATATATGTGTATATAGATTTTTTTTTTTTGCTTAATCTCTTCTTTTGTCATCATGTTTTCTTATCTGTTAACTGTCCAATGTATATAAGTGCGTAACCACCAGATGTGAAATGTTTTGTATTGTATAGCACTCACATTAAAATTCTCAGAGTAAAATTTACTCAGTTCAGAGAACATTTGGTCCCTCTCTAAATTGAGTAAAATTTACTCAGCAGCAGAGTTAAAGTTAATGAGACAATGATGGGGTTAATTAAGTGATGATTGAGCACTGATGATGAACACCTGCTGTTATTAAGCAGAAACAGAAGAGAAGCAGCAGCAGCTTCGCTCATTGCTTACCTGATTGATTTTATTTCTGTCAGATGTTCACAAAAGTCCATATAAGATTTATTGAGAAATAACCATTTTAGTTATTTACATTTTACAAAAAATAAAAAATAAATAAATAAATAAATAAATAAAACATGTTTTTATTCCCCTGATGTCACCATCGTGGAGAAAAGTGGTTAATTTACTTGGACTCGATTTCTAAAAGTAATTTTTCTTTGCTTGCTATTACAAGTATAAAGAGAGCAAATGTAATCAAGTTGACTGATCCTGTATTAATTCTTACTCTTGATGAGAGTAACTTTATAAGAATTTGTTAGACTTTGCAAATTATGTTTAAATGATGGTTTATCATATACGAAACAAAATTCAGTGTTTTTTGAGAGAATGGACCTCAGCTGTGGTGTTATATTAAACACATTGAGCATCTGAATCACTTTAAAAACACAGACATAAATAATCAGCATATCTATCTCAACAGTGGTTAGAGATTTTTATTTATTTTTGGCTGCAGTGCATGTTAAGAGAATCATACAGTGTTCATTCATAGTTCCATGCATGCACTGTTGGGAGAAAAAATCACCATAGTTGAGAAGCACACTCTAATTCTTTATGTCTATGTGTTTTAAGTGCTTCAGATTTTCAATGTGTTTTATGATCTGATATAAGTATTGGTGAGTTAAATTTTTCTTAATAAAGTGCTCTTTTTGTGATAGGACATTATTTAAACTTAATAGGTCAAAGCCAATTTTACTGTTTTGACCAGTGACTAAATCACCACAGAGTCAATTATCTAGAGTACAACTGCTCTCTTTATACACTATTTGCCACAATACACTATTTGGCAAACAAAGAGAAATCGAGTCAGAGTCCAAGTAAAGCAGCTACTGTTCTCCTCAATGGTGACAGCTTAAACACAAAAAGTGGTGTTTTTTTTATTATTATTATTATTGTAAAAAAAAAAAAAAAGTAAATTCTTAATATTATCACTATATGGAATTTTGTAAAGTGTGGCAGAAATAAGGCCAAACAGGTTGTTAATAAGTAAAGCTGCTGTTTGTGGAGTTATTTATTGATCCTTTGCTGAGATTTTGAGAGATTTGATCTGTTTTATTTCAGTTTATTTAATCTACGGCTGTGACTGAAGGTAGATGTAGTTTTGTGTTTTTCTTCTCTGTTTCTGCTTAATAACAGCAGGTGTTCATCATCAGTGCTCAATCATCACTTAATTAACCCCATCATTGTCTCATTAACTTTAACTCTGCTGCTGAGTAAATTTTGCTCAATTTAGAGAGGGACCAAATGTTCTCTGAACTGAGTAAATTTTACTTTGAGGATTTTACTGTGATAGTTTTTATTAAATAGTAGATTAGTAATCTTTATCTGTTTACCTTGAACTTGTAAAGGATGTATTTTCAAATCTTTTCTCTTTGTGACTTTATTATAGGCTGTACAGATGTATTCTCCACTGTCTGTGAAGTCTGTCTTTTCAATGGTGAAATTGTCTGTATTCACACCAGTGTCTGACCCATTAAACGTCCAGTTGAATGAAGCAGAAGGTTCAGACTTTGCAGAGCAAGACAGAGACACTTGAACCTCTAAATCCACCACATCTGGACCTGTAATAGAAACATCATCTGGTCCATCTACAACACAGACAAGAGACTCACTGTTAGAGGAACAAACTGAGAACTGAAGAATGACTAGATTTTATCAGATCTGATGTTGAAATGTTTCACACTCACAATTGATGATCAGGGGTTGTGAGTTACTTGCAGAGCTGACAGGGTTACTGTATATACAGAGATATTCTCCAGTGTCTGATCTCTGCACTGGACTGATTGACACTGATCTGTTATCAGAAGAAAAGATGATTCTGCTATTAGGAGACAGAGGACTGTTGTCTTTCATCCACTGCACAGAGGTGATGGTGCCTCCGCTTCCCTCAGAGGTGAAGTTGGCAGATGATTCACCCTCGATTAATGCTTCAGTTTGTGGACCAGTAACAGTGACATGATATATCGTTTCTGTGTTGGCCAAAGATAAAGAACAAAGAAATTAGATTAAAATCTTTAGTTGTGGTCCATTTGAAATGGAGATCTGGGCCACCACAAAATCATCATTCTAGCACGAAACATAAGGGGGAAAACTGGTTGTGTCCCATGCATAGTTTTTTTGCTGGCTCAGTTTACTCAAGTTTACACAAATATTGTCTTGTCATATACACTGCTAATAAATAAAGAACACTAAAATAACACATCATAAATCTAAACTATTGAAATATTATTATTAAATAATCTGTCCTTTAAATAGTTAAATGTGCAGGAAGCAAAATTACACAAAAATTATTGCATGCACATTTGTGGCCTGCTGGAGGTAATTTTGCAGGGCTCTGGCAGTGCTCCTTCGGTTCCTTCTTGCACAAAGGTGGAGGTGATGGCCCTGCTGCTGGGTTGTTGCCATCCTATGACCTCCTTCACGTCTTCTGATGTACTGGCCTGTCTTCTGGTAGCACCTCTATACTCTGGAAACAACGCTGGCAGACAAAGCAAACCTTTTTGCCACAGCTTGCATTGATGTGCCATCCTGGATGAACTGCACTACTCAAGCTACTTGTGTGGGTTGTAGACTCATTTTCATGCTACCACTAGAGTGAAAGAAAAACTAGCATTCAAGAGTGACCAAAACATTAGCCAATTGTGTTTCAGGTCTGATGTATTTGCATAAATATGAATGGAAGTCTATAGGGAGAAAATTCCAGTGTGACCGCAGCTTTAAGATCGGAAATGCAAGCTCGTGTGACAAGTTTTGCAGTTTGCTGCAGTGCAAAGTTCAAGCTTGGTGAACTCTGACCTGCGAAATCACAACACGTAACTGCATAAGATCAACAGCAGGTGCTTATCATTAATGCTCAATCGACACTTACTTAATCAATTAACTCATTAACTTCAACACTGACGTCAAAACTCTTTTCAAATGAGTAGAAATAACTTCTAGTAAATGTTAAGTTTATTACACTCATTTACACTGCAAATTTTAGATTTAGTAGATTTAACTACATTAGAGTTAAAATTAACACTCCCTCAGAGTTTATATGGGAACCACTATAAAAATGTTTTAATAACACTTTTGAAAGTGTTAACATTATCAACACTGAGAGTATTAATTAGCAAACTCTTATAGTGTAAAATATCTGTTAAATTTCCGAAAACATACCAGCAGCTGTGGTTGGATATTTATTTCTATAAAAAATACAGAAGTTTTATAAAACTGTTTAAATTTATGGAAAATAACCATTTTTTATGAACTGATACAATGTTCAGTTTACAAAATTGTAGCTTAATGCACAAAAATGTAAAGTCACTAGATGCAATGCGTTAATGAGTGGTTGCAATTAACTAACAGATTTTCTCTGCATTAGTAACTACACAGCTATATTTAAACAAAAGACGATGCAGCATAACATTAAATACTGTCAGTTCATCTTAAACACAGACGCTACTATCTTCCACAATGGTGACACAAAAAACGTTTTGCTGTTTGTTTGTTTTTTTATTTCTTGATTTTATGGAAAAATACCGGCAGCTGTGGTTGCCAGTAATCTACTGTTTTTACACATTTTACATTCATAAATTTAATCTACAGAATATTTCTGTTAAAAAGACATTCCACAGTCTGTATTTTTCATCAAACACATTGGTAAATTCAACTATTGGGTTTTACATTGAACTATACAGTACTGTAGTACATAAATATTTAAAATCTGTTTTCTGACTAGATGCATGCATTTGTTTACGACATGATGTAGATTTAATTTCAATACCATTAGGCCAATTAACATGAATACTGTATGTGATCAAATATAGCAACACACTCACCGAACACCTGTAGTGAAGTTTCTCCTCTATGTTGATTTCCATTACTAATAACAGTCAGACTGTATGGTCCAGCATCCTCCAGTTTTAGGTTCCAGAGCTCCAGAGCAAGAGTGTTTTTGTCAAAACTGGATCTGTTTTTATATGCTGAGACTATTGAGGCTGTATCAGGGTTTCCAGACAATATAAAAGTTTGTCCAAATTGCCAGGTAACTGTATCAATCTCTGATGGTAAGTTATTAGGTGTAAACTTTACACTTCCTCCTACTGCCCCATTAGTCAGTTCAGGAAACTGAAAATCTTCACCAAAACTTTGACCTGTGGAGAAAAGTAACTCACTCTTTGTGTTTGTTTGTTCGCTTGCTAAAACACATACTATCATTTAATATTAAATAATGTACAGTTCACAAACATCTTAACTTAAAAATAAATAGCCATGTCAGAGCTCTAATCTCAAAAGATAATCAAAATTATGTTTAAAAATATTTCTGACACACTTGCACTTTTTAAAACTTAAAAAAGTGCAGGCATTTGCCTGAATTTTAACTTAACTATAGAAGGATTTTCATTACTGCTGAAAACATTACATATTTTACCTCTATTTCAGCATTTACTGTTCTTTTTTAATGGCCCTTTTTACCCAGCAATAACCTGTTTGGAATCATATGATTCTGGTGGGCGACACAGTGGCTCGGTGGTTAGCACTGTCACCTCACAGTAAAAAAGTTTGAATCCCCGCTGGGTTAGTAGGCATTTCTGTGTGGAGTTTGCTTGTTCTCCCCGAGTTGGTGTGGGTTTCCTCCAGGTGTTCTGGTTTCCCTCACAGTCTAAAGACATGCGCTATAGGTGATTTAAATAAACTTAATTGGCCGTAGTGTGAGTGTGTGTGAATGACTGTGTATAGGTGTTTTCCAATACTGACTTGTAGCTGTGAATTATGGTAGACAAGTTGACAGCTCATTCCACTGTGGCGACCCCTGATGAATAAGGGGACTAAGCCGAAGGAAAATTAATGAATGAATGATTAGTGAAAATTTACATGGAGTAAAAAGCTGTAATTACACTGCACTTTTCTCCCCATAGACTTCCATTTATATTCATGCTAATGCGACAGATTGAAAATGCAAGCTCGTGTGACAAGTTTCGCAGTTGGAGTTTCCGGCAAGATAGCTCTCTGTGCAGCAGCACATTTCACTGCTTTCCATTCGACCCATAGTAGTCATTTTTAAATTAAGGTTAAGTCCAATTTGTTTACTTTAAAATAAATGTAAAATAAGTGTTCAAATAAGGATTTTAGATCATTTATTCAGTTATTTATTTCAGTTTGATGGACAACCTGGACCATAGTTATACTATAACAAGTGAAACAACTGGCAGTATAAACAAGCACAGTACTCCACCAGCCACACCAGCCAAAATGCAAGTGATGGCGTGGATTTTCTGATAGATGTCCATTCCAGGATAGAGTAACACATAAAAAAATCTATTGTCTTTATAAATAATAATAAAGTTGAATGTTTAAGAGCTTAGATTATATGATGACTTTAGCGTCATCCCAATTCAGAGTAAAACTAGATTAATATGTGTGATTGCTTTTCTGTATGCCAAATTATTTGTTTCTGTTGAGTTATATGTTCTCATTAATCATTTAAATTGATGTTTTACCAGTGCGTTGTGATGAAAGCGAACAAATAAATAATATTAAGAAGTTATATCTGGATTATTCTTTCATGGATGGATGACAACAACATATTGCACATAGACATGACGGATAGAAATAAAACCCTACAGGTTATGGGCCCAGGCGCGCCAGTGCTACAGGAGGAAGATGGCAGAGGCTAGTTTTCGACGGAGACGAAAACAACTACGAACTATGGGAAGTAAAATTTCTTGGCCATTTGAGAATAATGGGTTTAAAAGAAACCATACTGTCTACCGGGGATATACTGTAGACGAGTAAACAAACGAGGAGTGCTACGCTAAATTAATTCAATTTCTCGATGATAAAAGCTTGTCACCGATGATGCGAGAGGCGACTGATGACGGCAGGAAAGCTCTGCAAATACTTCGAAATCACTACGCTAGTCAAGGTAAACCTAGAATTATCGCCCTATACACTGAACTAACTTTGTTAAAGAAGGAATCTGACGAGACGTTAACAGACTACATTATCCGAGCTGAGAAAGCAGTGACTTCGCTAATAAACGCAAAAGCAGTAATAAGTGATGGTTTGATAATAGCTATGATCCTAAAGGGTCTGCCAGATTCCTACAAACCTTTCACTATCCATACTACACAGAATAGTGAAGAATTGACTTTTATCCAGTTCAAAAGCAAACTAAGAAGCTATGAAGAGACAGAAAAATTTGATGATAAACCCAAATCTGACAATGTGATGAAAGTGCACATGGCATCCGTGACCTGCTACGGATGTGGAAATCGCGGTCATATATCGCACGATTGCCGCCAAAAAGGCGTATCTAAGTGGTGCAACTACCATAGAAGTTCAACACACAGTGATGAGACATGCCGCCGGAGAAGGGACGGTCACAAAGATGAAGCAAAACAGGCTGAGGAAAAACAAGAGGAGCATGAGAAAGAACAAACATTTGTGTTCAAAGTCAGTCAAACATTTCTTCCAGACAATATTACACAAAATTGACTAATGGTAGACTGTGGAGCAACATCCCACATCTTAACAGAGAAGAACGATTTCACGAGATTTGATGAGAGTTTCGACCCAAAATTACACTATTTGGAGCTAGCGGATAGAGCCGGGATGAACAACGTTGCATTAAAGCGGGGCAACGCAAAGGTGATACTACTGGACGTGGAAGGGAAATGCATCAAGATCACTCTAAAGAAGGCCTTGTTCATACCATCATACCCACAGAGCATCATCTCCGTTCAAGTTGCTACAACAGATGGGGCCAATTTGATCTTCCAGGAAGGACAGAATGAACTGATAAGCAAAGATGGAGCTGTGTTCCGCATAGAAGAGCACGATAGACTGTACTATCTGAAAACGGTAAATAACAACAAACAATGTGTTGATGCATCAGTTACTGATATGATGTCCAAGGACAAAGTGAGTCTAACTTGTGATGTTAAAACATTGCATGAGATCATGGGACATTGTAATGTTAGTGATGTGTTGAAATTACCTGAAGTGGCTGAGGGTATAAAATTCACAGGAAATACCAAATTAGACTGTAATGTTTGTACTGAAAGAACTTTGTCAACAACAGAAATAGGAAAACTGACACAAAAGCTGGTGAGGCCCTAGAGTTGGTATACACTGACTTAGCAGGTCTCATTGAACCAACTTCTCAAGATGGATATAAGTATGCAGTTTCATTCACAGATGATTTTTCAGGGGCAGTGTCTGTTTACTTCCTTAAGAACAAGAGTGACACTACTCTAGCGACAGAAAAGTTCCTTGCAGACAGTGCACCATACGGTAGAGTCAAATGCATAAGATCAGACAATGGCACAGAATACACAAGCGATGCATTTCAATCACTCTTACGAAAAAAAGGGTATAAGGCATGATACGTCATCTCCCTACTCTCCGCATCAAAATGGTACAGCTGAGAGACAATGGCGAACCATCTTTGAAATGAGAAGGTGTCTGCTAATAGAGAAGGGATTACCAAAAGTTCTGTGGCCTTATGCTGTCCAAACTGCAACTCACATCCGAAACAGATGTTATAATGACAGATTTAAGAATACTCCATACTTTATGTTGACAGGAAGAAAGCCAGACCTTTCTAAAATGTGGGTTTTTGGATCAGAATGCTATGCGTACAAACATAATCATAAGAAATTGGATCCTAGATGTGAGAAGGGATTATTTGTGGGGTACAGTGAAAATAGCCCAGCTTATCTGGTATACAATACACAGACAGAAAAATTGTCAAAACATAGATTGGTGAAATTCATTAGGAAGAGCAGTGTGAACAACAGACACAAACCGATGAAGAATACTTAGAAATACAGTATAGGACACAGGATAGTGGGAACAGTGGTGATGCCCCAAAAACTGAGGAAAGCACAGAGAACAGGGTCCTAGATGAAAACATGGAGATTATTGATTCAGACAATACAGAGGTGTCAGAACATGATGGAACTACAGAAAAAGTAGACACAGAAGACAACAAAGACAGTACAGGTCCAGTCACGGCTAATCAAAAACATTACCACTCAAATAGAGAAAAGAGAGCCCCAAAGTATTTACAAGATTATTTGGCATACTCCAAAGATGACAAAACCAATGTGAGTGTTGATTATTGTTACAGGGCAGTGTGGAGTCCCCCAAACCTATAGAGAGGCTCTTATGTCACCTGAGGCTCCCGGATGGGAGCATGCTATGAAGGAAGAGATGGACTCACTTAAAGAAAATGACACATTTGAATTGACAACTCTACCAAAGGGCAGAAAGACAATAAGGGGGTATAGGCCCTTAAAGAAAATGCAGAAACAGGAAAAATCTTCAAAGCTAGGTATGTTGCAAAGGGATACAGCCAAACTGTAGGCAAAGACTACCATGAGACATTTGCTCCTACAGCAAATCTCACCTCAGTACGAACATTAATGCAGATAGCTGCTCAGAACAATTTCTCAGTTCATCAGATGGATGTCAAAACAGCATACTTACATGCTCCAATAGAGGAAGACATACTTAGAACAACCAGAGGGTTTTGAAGAAACATCTGACATAGGAGACAAGTTAGTATGCAAGTTAAAAAAAATCCCTGTATGGCCTAAAGCAGTCTGGAAGAAACAGGTACAAACTTTTAAATGATCATTTGGAACAAAACAACTTTGAGAGAAATCAGTCTGATCACTGTGTGTATAGAAAACAAATTGAAAATGAGACGATCATAGTGATCATCTGGGTAGATGATTTAATAATTGCAGCAAGCAGTGACAATCAGCTCAACAGTTTTAAAGAAATAATGAAGTCCAAATTTAACATGAAGGATTTAGGGAAAATATCTTATTTTTTGGGGATTCAGTTTGAACAAAAAGAAGGAACAATTAAAATGAATCAGAAAAGGTACATCCTCAAAATGCTTGAAAGTGTTGGAATGTCAAACTGTAAACCAAAAGCTACCCCAAGTGAGTTAAAAGTGGAGTGTAATATAAATGAGGAAGAAAACAACAACGAAATTGAGAACCCCAAAGAATATCGTGAACTTGTTGGAAGCTTGATCTATGCAATGACCTGTACCAGACCAGACATTAGCTGGATAGTCAGTAAACTGTCACAAACCCTTGCAAAGCCTAAAACAGATGACTTAGTAGCTGCTAAACATGTTTTGAGATACCTAAAAGGTAGAGCTGTCTACGAGTTGTGTTACAAGAAAACAGACAAGACTTTAAGTCTAATAGCATTCAATGATTCTGACTGG